GCAATAATCTTATTTCAACTTGGAGATGTCATGATATTATAAGTGATATGATACTATCTTACATTTATCAATAATATTTGCAGTTAGTCATCATTGTAAGAGATACTGTGGATGGTTGCGAAATCCTGCACCACCAAAAGGATGGTTGAAACCCTATGAATAATGGGATAAAACACGTTTTTCAACTGGTGCAGGATTTCGCAACCATCCACCGTATCATAATAGTCCTATGAATAGTCTTGCGGGAGAATATTACCATCCTAATTTCTATTATAATAGTCCTATCATAATTATGGGATAATAGTAATAGTACTGATAATTGGCAACAGTCATGATAATCATATAATTATCATAATCCTAACAATACTCCTAACAATACTTTAGTGTAAATATGATAATAGTAATAGTAATCATAATAACCATTTCAGTAGGAATCATGAATTATAGTCTCAAGACAGCAATAGGAATAATAGGTATCAGTCATGATTACAGTCATACTCGTCATTATAATATGTAGTAACACGCTAGTACAATTAGAATCCTATGATAATAAGAGATCCTATCTATGATTATCTGGTTTATATCCCCCAGCAATGCTTGATTTTCAAAAGGGTCCCTCAGTCGTTGAGATCCGATTTTGGGCTTCAGTCATGGATCTCCCAGGGGCAAAAATTCAGCAGCGACACAAAGAGATTTCACCACGACTCGTCAAGCAGTGGCTAGGGATTAACCAACCAACCTGGAGCATCACCAAGCAAAATGTTTAGAAATGCAGATATATCAGATATATCAGATATATCAGGATCAATTATCACCCTGGTGAACACCAAAAAAACTGCTAAATGGAGGTTAAATCCCCTGGAATGATGGTTTTTTGGAGTTTGATCCATCCCATGACTACAGTACGCCTATCCAGTCAGAATCATTTTCTGCTGTTGGATTCAACCCAATTCACAAATACAGAAGTTAATTCGAATCATCATTTCGGGTAAGACGGTAAGACGGAAAGTGACAAAATAACCAACAACAAACATCAACAAACATCAACGAGGGTCTGGGTCCTGAATTGGTAATCCCCCCAAAAAAGGCGCAGTTTATTCATTGAACATGGCCAAAATCTGTCGTTTTCAGCACCAGAACAGGCCCACACTGCTCTGGGGAGTCCGGCCAGAACTCCGCTTTGCCAATGAGTCGGAACCAATCCTCCAAACAGCGTTTCAGGTGGACCACTAGTCACTTTGTCCAATGTGGAGGTGAGGTTCATGCTCAAAAAGGCAAAGATACAAAATGTATCAAAATGTAATGTTTGATTGATGGATTTGATGGTATATATTATATATGACCAAGATTGACCAAGTATGATGGGAACATCATAAACCATGATTTTCTGCGTCCGCGAAGCATGTTTTCACCATGGCCGACACGCGAACGTGCCATATGCTCAGGAGACACGCGGGCTGCCTTGTGCAAAGTTTGAAACCACCATCCGAGTTCTTGCGAAACGATTCCATTGCTGAAAAGATCATGCATTGCATCGTATTGCAGATACTCCAAGCGAAAAGAATGCGGAGAGAGGCCTGTGTCAGCGGCGACTCACGTTGGCATGTGCCAAAAAAAACAGAAAGGCATAGGCGGATATAGGCGGTATCCAAAAAAGTTCTTGTCCACCCAGGATCAATAAACCACTGGTGGATTTGATATTGAGTGCCCCCATCTTAAATTGCAATCTTGTCAACTATTGTGGGAAGCTCGAAATGGGGTTGACTCTTGGAAGTGCATACTGCATCCCTTACGTCGTAAGTTGTTGATAATCCTGGTGATGGTAAGCCTACAATTCTCCCATGTATAACTGAGTCATGAACATGCTTCTGGACAATTCATGAGAAATCTCAATGCTTGAGCCTGTATTTGAGAGGATTTCCTTTGCTAGATCTGATTTCTGGTAAGACTGTAGTGCGGCCACGATCAATTGATTAATGACTACAATTCCTAACAGTTTCTGTAATTAGTGTTCGAAGTGCACATCATTCTGATATCCTATGATCTGATATACTGACAATAAGTAATTACATGTAATTAATAGTAATTGATATTCTATGATTAGTATTCTATGAGATTCTATGAGATTCTATGATGTTCTATGATGTTCTATGATATTCTATGATATTCTATAGATCCAATGCTTATACCCTGCTTTTTTACGCATCGCAACGTGCTTCCAACTTTCGCTTGTCGACGTTTCGGACTTTCGGTGGCTTCCCAGCCGGCTTCAACTCCCCAGCTGGTGACGTGAAAAGAAAGCATAAACGAAAACCAACAGCCAGCCACCCGATGAAAAATTGATACAAATTGGATGGCTCATTGGATTACATATTTTTTACCATCTGGTTATTTAACATAGCCATGGTATAGATGGCCTATGTAGAGATGTTTTACCTATTGGAAATGGTGATTTTCCATGGCTATGTTAGTCATAACCAGATGGTATATCTTTACATATCTTTGCTATCTTCCCACTTTAGCGTAAGGTAGCCTTTTTGTTGGGCGATCTGGTCGATTCCAAGCCGATTCAAAAACGAACGAAGCCCACCCTTCGGCGGAGCCCACCCACCCACAACGGCGCTCCTGTCGACAAAGTCGGCCCTTACGCCATCCATCAGCATAGATGCCATGGATCCTCGGAGTGAGACGGTGCCAATCCATGGGAGAAAAAGGATGGGAGAATCCTGGTGTTTCACCAACTGCTTGGGATTTTTCCAGGCCAAAAATGGGAAGATCAATGTTTCTTTCTGAAGATTTCCCATATAGGATCCTAACGGTGCTGCTATATATGGTGTGCCATGGATCCCATCAATATACCCCCTTTATGTTAGCATATATGCCATACATGGATCCTATGGGATAGGTAATGACTACAGAAATTACAGATTTTAGAGATTTTCCTAAGCACTTGCTTTCGGGGAGAACCGTAGAATGATCTTTTGCAAACACATGGCCAGCAGCAGATAGCGTGGAATATTGCAATCCTCCATTTGGAAGTACTGCAATGGTGAAATTAAAGCTGAAACTAAATGGCAATGGTAGTCATTGGATATGGGCGGCCAAAATATCCCATTCTATATGTCTATAAATAATATATAAATATATAATCTTATATAATCTATAGATATCTATAGCTTTACTTTGGGGTTACAACAGGTAACTTATAACATCTGAAACTGTCATCCCACTGGGGTTGTCCGGACAACCAACGAGCACTCCGTTTGTGATTTTTCGGCACCAAAGAAGGTCCGAATCTCTTGGGAGAAGTTCAGTAAACTCGGAAAATGATGGAAAAACCATGAGGGTAGGATCCTATCATAGAAAAACTCAACTGCTTGGTGGTTTTTGACAAAAACCCCTCTGAAAAATGATGGTTTGTGAAAGTCAGTTGGGATGATTATTCCATTCCCAACTGAATGGAAAAATAATCCAAATTCCCAACTGAATGGAAAAATAATCCAAATTCCCAACTGAATGGAAAGTCATAATCCATTCATGTTCCAGACCACCAACCAGTAACATAAATACATGAAATATACGTAGCTCTATTAGGCTCTATTCAATGTGAGCCCCCAAAATGAAGAGATCCATATGATCAGAGGCTGCGATTTTTTGGCGAAATCGCCCATTGGCAACTCACATTTTCTGGGATGTCACCCTGATGATATCACCCATTTTGAGATGTTTTTTGGCATTACAAGCTGATAAAATCTGGGGGATTAAATCTGGATAAAATCTGGATATTCTAGATATTACAAGCTGCTGAGATCTGCTGAGAATAAATCCAGATGGTTTCCACATGTTTCCAAATCAGGATCTCCACAATGGCAGAATGCCCCAACGTTTTTCAGGCGGTCGCAGCTCGACCTCCCGCTTCGCATGCTGCAGGTCTCAGGTCTCTCTGGGGCACAAACCATGAACCGGGTCACGGTCGTCGCTTTTTGATGCTTTTTGTTGGTTGCCAGTCCCTAAAAGACCCGTTGAACGTCCCGCCTTTATATCCAAATATATGCGTTTATGGCATAAACAATCTCAAACTGAGGGGAAACAAAAACCATCTTGGAGCTTGTGTGGTCAGTTTATTTCAATAAACTTCAAAAACACCCGGGAGTCATCAGCACCCTCTGGCAATTTACCACTCCAACCAGTAAAACATTGAGAAAAGTGTTGATAATCCATTGGAAGTGGGCCAGTGGCGGTACTGTCAAACAAACTACACGTCATGTGCCCACATTTTTGCTTTTTTAATCCGATGTTCATGGCTGGGAATTACACTATTCTCACTATTGATCAACCACGTATCACCATTCCGTGCAACAATAATTCCCAAGCTGTAAGCTCATTTGGAGATGATCTCCTCAGCTACTTCATCAACCATTCACCAGACAGATTTCCCCAGAACTTGTTGGTTCTTGGGACATTCATCCCCAATGTTTGATGGTCAAACCCATGGCTGACCCTTCATGGCGACACCCTCCGGTAATGATTAATACTTTGCTATAGAAAATGGTGATTTATAGTGGATTTACCCATTGAAAATGGTGATTTACCCTCTGGTAAGTTAACATAGCTATAGAAAATCACCATTTTCAATAGGTAAACCATCTATAAATAGGCCATTTTCCAGTTCGCAAACCGTAAACGTTTACCAGGCCGGGTAACCCATTTCATGTCACTTGCTGTTCACCCCAGCTAGTTATACCATACCTCAACTAACCCTACCCTACTTATAACTGGGCTTATAATCCATTTACTAAGTGGGATGAACCACCAAGTAGCCATAAGATGATAAGTCCATATCCAACAGAATATCCCATGATATCCCATCATAAAACCACAACGATGGGTTAAAAAACCACATGGTTTTCCCAAAGAACCCACCTTTCCCTGGCTGCATCAAGGGACTCTTCCTCCAGATCTCTACCTTGATAAACCCAGTGAGGGGCTGCCACCTGCCATCATTCGCTGCCATTCGCCCGTCGATCGTTCGCCCGTGAGGGAAAACGCAGGAGCTTTTCATGGGAGTACCCTGTGGTACAAAAACAAAACTCTGGCTGGCGGTGCAATAACCATCTTGAATAATATGAAAGTCAATGGGAAGAATGACATCCCATATATTATTGAAATAAAACATGTTTGAAACCACCAACCAGAACTGTTTAAACTCCTGATTTCTAGAGTGTATGATGATCTGTATGGTTGATGATTATCGGAAACGAACTATGAGCCATACATATGTGAAAATCATGTTGGATGTAAGGGGCTGTCAACCATCAAAACATCGATATAGAGATTAAAGGCAATTCACACGACTGAAAAGATTAAGTACTTAGCATTCGCATCGTAAGTTTTGACCCATCGATGAATTTTCCGGGAAAACCCGAAGAGTCGGGGGTTCTAAATCTTCAAGAACTGCCACTCAAATTACCACAGAAACAGCATCATTTTATGATTGGATTAAACTTAAACTATAATTCATAGCCCTCCAGTGTTCTTCAAGCAGCAAATAAGCTTCACCTTCTGGCCTTGCCACAACTGATGGTCACAGCATCGTGATGGCCCCTATAGCAATCAATTAAGTACGGTATTTTCAATGGCTCAAGCCAGAGCTGTCAGGATGACCACCTTGAGTGGCCATTGTTTCCACGCTGGCACCACCGTGGCTGTGTTCGCCATTACATCTTCTAAGCAAACACCCAGTTTTGACCAATTCGAAGACCATTCCTAATCGATGTAATAATCCGGATGAGGTAAACCCGACGCTACCTCCCCAAGCGTCATCTCCAAACACGCCCAAGCTAGGATGAGGAACCACACTCTGACTCACCAATCTGTCATCCTTTCCGCAAGTGCTGTATGGAACTGATAGCACATTTGCAGCAGGCCAACCACTTGCACCGCTTGGATCGTACTTCACAGTAGCCATCAAAGTTGGAGACATAGCATAGCCAAATCTCATCACGAGTTGACGTTGAACCTCCAAAGCCACGGGTGTCACTTCAGCTCCTCGCACAGAAGGCTCCGGTTGACATGCCAATCGATTTCGCTCAGCCAACTCAGCAGCATTGAGTGGGGAAAGGTTATCACCCATCCTGAGCTCAGCAGGATATCCGAAACCACCAGGCACCAAAGGCACAATTGCCTGCCTGTCAGCAGGAGCCACATAGGCGAAAGACATCAATAGTTGCCTCTCTGCCAACAGCATCGAAGTTGCATAAGGTTCAGTGGCAATCAAGAGAGTCTTCATCAGATCATAAGACTCCCTCGTGGTGTAAGGTCTTTCTAGGTACTCCCAAGTCGTTGGTTTGCGGTGGATAAATGGGTGAAGTGTACAGTGTACTGGGTCTGATCCTGTAATACGGTGGATGGGCCAGCGAAATCCGAGAAACCACCAATTTGGGATGGTTGAAACCACAAAATCATGGGATGTTTACCACCCATTCTCCTCCTGTAAACATCAAATTATTTTGTTGGGCTTTCAACTGGTGCTTCGGATTTCGCTGGCCCATCCGAGCCGTACCCCCCATTTCCTGTTGGATTTCAACTGGTGCCGTTGGGACAAATCCCTAGAATTTACTATCCATGTTTACAAAACATGATAGCCCTATTTGTGGCCAATTTCCCAACCATATTTGTCAAATGTTTCCCATTAGAGTTTACAACATGTTCATATGCTTGGGCAACTCTATTTGTACCTGTCACTGGAAAACCTGTTTTGGGATAAATGGATACCCGCTCCTGATCGCCCCCTAACCACTGGATGGCTTAATGGTTGAGACACAATTGTCCGTCATCTTCACAACATTTGAACTATTAAAATACCAAGTTGTCTCCATGAGTTGGTTGATAGGTTTCCCGGTAATTGTGGGTTAGTTCAGCTAGTATAACTCCTTGTAATAACCAATCAACACGGGTATTTTCAATGGATTGAATATGTCAATACATGTCAATACTATATATGTACAGTATATACTGGTTGGTGGTCTACCTACCCCTCTGAAAACTATGAGTCAGTCAGTTGGGAAGGATGACATCCCATATATTTATGAGTCCAACAACACAGAGAATATAGGGTTTGACAAAAAAAATAAAAAAACACACAAAAAAAAAAACAAAACCAGAGCAAACAAAAAAAACAAACTAGAAAACCAAAACCAAGGAAAAAACAAGAAAAAAACAAAAAAATCAAAAAAAAATCAAAACCTGCATTTTCCGCAGTTTTGTTTTTTTTTGATTTTTTTTTGTTTTTTTTTGTTTTTTTTTTGTTTTTTTCTTGTTTTTTTTCTGTTTCTTCCTGTCGATTTGTTTTTTTGGTGATTCTGTTTTTGTTTCTGTTTTTGTTTTTTTAATGTTTTGCTAAAATCCACTTTCTCTGTTCTACACAGGGTCATAACCATATATGAAATGAAAAATAAATTGTTTGTTAGCAATAGATTACCCTCCGGTAAACGAACATAACTGTGGAAAATCACCATTTTTAATGGTAAATCAACGAATTTTCTATGTGCCATGGCTTCAATAGCTGGTTAAGAACGGGATTTCCAGTTCATGGATGGTGAGAATCCCCAACTAATATTACCATCTGGTTATGACTAACATAGCCATGGAAAATCCCCAAAATAAATGGAGGTTTCTAGCTGGGAAAATCATCTATAAATGGGCCATGGCTTCCATGGCTATGTTAAATAACCAGAGGGTAATATAATTGACTAATCAACCAACCATCATTCACTAGTTCTATCCACTTATTTACCCTTATAGTTTCATGACTAACATACGTTAACAATCCCTATGACATCTAGTAATATCAAATCATATTTCCTATTGAAATCCCTAAAATCCAAATAACCAGCTAATATATAACTCCTTCAAAAGACATCAACAAAACTACCCTCTGGTAATTTAACATAACTCTTGAAAATGGACCATTTATAGTTGATTTACCCATTAAAAATGGTGGATCTTTCCATAGTTATGGGACAGTTTACCAGAGGGTTTATCCCATTCATATCCCATTAAATCACTATAAATCCCATTGAATCACTATAAATCACTATCAATCTCCCTATCAAAATGGTGGATCTTTCCATAATCTCCCTATAAAAGTGGTGGATCTTTCCATAATCTCCCTATAAAAGTGGTGGATCTTTCCATAGTTATGTAAACGTTTACCAGGCCGGGAATTTTGAAAAGATTCCTGGTTCTCGCCCTCCCGCCCTGGGCGCCCTGGGCACCCTGGGCACCCTCCCGCCTCATCAGTCCTGGGGCGTTCGATGTGGAAAACTCATGGGAAAGCCGGGCTGAACAAATGATGAATTCTGTATCTGGTTTAGTATAATATATGGTTAATCTATAATATATGGTCAACATTTGGTTAATATTCATATATATATATACATATCTGCAAATGGTGATTTAATGGTTTTTTGTTTTTTAGGTTTTCCAGATCTATGATCGTTTAGGAGAAAATAATCTTATTTCAATGGATATGAGTTAAGTAAATATCATTGAATATCGCCTAATAAAATGGAGATGTTTCAACGGATATTAGTCAATCAAATGGGCCATGGGTCATGGCTACCAGTTTTACTGGATTACAAATTGGTTACCAGTTGAATCAGTAGTTGATAACTAGTTGTTCATGTGATATAAGTTGACTGAATGGTAAACATCCGTTTGATGAAGTGCATAGTGTTTTTTGGTCTGGTTTTTAGATTTTAAGCCACTTGGGTTTGAAGAACAATCACCAACTCCAAAACAACATTGGACGTGTAAATAACTGGGGCAATCTCGGTCGCTATGTAATAGTAATAGGATATAATGGTTTATAAACTATTGAACATACATATAATTACTTTACTTAGAGTGACCCCACCCTGACAATTTTCTGTCATAACTTCTGACATATCATCTGGAAATCATCTGGAAATATATGATGGTGTAATCTTCTCACGTTCTTTTCTGGCATTCTATCTGACATTCTATTCTGGCAATATCGCCGTGTTTCACAATGTGCTTTAAAAACCCAGATTTTCTCTCTGGATCTTGTGAAGGAAACAAGGTCTTCTTGAATGGACTTAGCTTTCTGTTGGGGTCCGGCAGTGCCCACTGAGGTCTGGAGCTCGCAGTTAAAGACGGATAAGGAGGAGGACGAGGGAGGAGAAGGAAGGAAAGAAGAAAGGAAGGAAGGAAGGAAGGAGAGACCAGGTTGGGAATTACAGTATACAAGTGGGTGAACCTTGGTGTGTGTGAATGTCAACCTCAGTGGTTCATTAAAATGGTACCCCCCCCAAGGCCCAACACTCCCGGGGTGACATTCTTTTGCATCAAACCTGGCTCAAAAAAACTGGCGACGTCCCGCTTGGAGGATGATTTATGCAAAGTATTTCTGGTAAACAGAGGCTGATTTACTTACCATCTCATATCCTCATATTTTATGTGCTTAGAAGCAGAAATGATGAACTATTTATAACTATTTAACCATATACCAACCATCTATGGAAATTGTTTGGATGGTCCATGGTCGTGGCTTGGAACCACATTCAAACACATGAAGGATATGAAGGCACCACCCCGGAGAGCTCAAAAAGGGGTAGTATAGAACCAGAAACTCCAACTTACTCCAACTTGGATCCTCTGGACAGGTGTAAAAAACCTTGGCCAATGGCCCATCCCTGGTAGGTGGTTTCTATGGATAGCTATGGGAATATCTATGGGAATGAAAATATGGGAATATCTATTGCTGATTGGTGGGGGCCAACCTACCCATCTTGAAAAATCATGGAGTGAAAGTCAACGGTTGGCGGATGACATCCCATACATGAAATGGAAAAATCCAGCCATGTTCCATGGCGCACCAACCAGTAGTCACCATTAATCATTAGTAGCCATTCTTAACCATTATTAACCCATTACAATCCCCATTAAATCACCATTAACCAACCAGATCCGCTTCACTTTTCGTCAAGGCACAAGGCTCCCAAGGCTCCCAAGGCTCCGGCTCCGATAACTGTGGGATCTCCTGTCGACATTTCCCCCCAAACGACAGGTAAGTTACTAAGTTGGTTGAATCAACTAGGCAAATTCTATAATAGTGTAGTGTATAGGATATAAATCTCTATATAATATATAGGATATAATTCTACAACTAGGCAAATTCGATAGTGTATGCTGGATATAAATGATATAAATCTCTAGTTTTTTTTGTGGGGAACTAGAAGAGGGGCCCACGTGAATGTGTGATTTTTGGCGTAAATGTAAAGAAAGATACAATTGTTAACAATTATACACATATATAGATAAAAATTAAAAGGATGATATGCGAACTGATACAAAGTAGTAAACCTAATAGCTCAAGAAGCACAATGCTGATCCTGATTGTTTACACCCCTCATTTCCAGTCAGGGCGGTAAATGTTTGTAAAAAAACACATGGATTACACCTGCATGTTCATCACCTCCAAAAAAACATGTGAAGGTCAATTTGGTTCACAATGCCGGAAAGTAAACCACATTTGAAACCATGAACCTGATATTGAATCTGTATCATCCAAATGGGCTGTGTCAAAGTTTAGAACCCAAACAATCGGATGGTTTCAAAGTATACAGTATATATATATATATATTTATCATATCATATCATATCACATCATATCATATTATATGTACACAATTACATATTTATATATACAAAATCATATCATATCACATCCCCTTTGAAACAGTAAACAATACCTGGGTTTTGTACACGTCTTTTACATATCAGGTACCATCCGCACTCCAAACCCTCCTTGATCGTCACTGGACCTGCTGATGGACGACAACCAGGTCGTCTAAAGGGGCTACCAATGGAGCCATAACGACTGGTGACGTTCAGTATATTAGATTTGTATATATACATAAATACACAATAATATTTAATAAATACATGTCATGTGTATATATATATACATATTTGTATACTAATACATACAACCAGTCTGTTTTGCATCTGCTTCTATTTATATGCTTTTACATGTGTATATATATATATTGTTTTTTCTCAGTTGGTAATATATAACGCCTTCTTGGGACAGCTTCGTGGCTTAAAACGTCAGCCTATGAGGATGTGAACCGACCGTTTTTTGCAGGTTCCCTCAAGGTGCTGCCCCAGTGAGTTGTTCAGCTATGGTTTATGGTAGATATATCTATACTATTCCTATGGTTTGTAAACCAACAAACATCACGGGGGGGGCACCAGCTTGCTCCTGTTAGGACGTTAAAAAAACATCCATTTCCATTGGGATTTTCCAGCCATCTTTGAGTGGAGGAAGTCGGACTCCGATGGATTGACTCGTGCGGCACTGCTTCAAGGGGACACCACCCCACTGAAAAATCCCCACGTCTTTTTGCCCATGTTTGGTGAAATCATGAGGTTTTCATGTAACTTCTGGTGTTTCACCATCATTTTCTTGTTCACATCGCAGCTGCTGCTTTGGGTACGTCCAAAGGAGCTGATGCTGGTCAACCCCTTGTTGAAAAATGGACCGTACGTCATGAAATTGGAGTACCAAAGGACACCACACAGAATATGTATACATGTGTGTATATATTTATATAATTATGTATCATATATATATATACATTAACATATATATTAAATATGATATATATATATATATATAGACTATACACATATTTTTTGAACAAAAAAAACTATAGTATAATATACCCAAAGCTGCTCGTGTACGCCCCCGGTGATTCATTCATTCAAAACGTCCACCTGGAGGCTGCATGCAGTGCGCGTCTCCTGCGGGATCATGGGATCATTGGGGATTCGCCAACTGGTTGGATCATTGGTGATATGGATAGCTATGGGAATATACCCTATGGTAAATAAACAGTTGGACCCTGAAAATCACCCATTTTTAATGGAAACTAGTCTTCCAACCCCGATGACTGCCAGGGTCTATGTTAATTTACCAGAGGGTATATGGGAATATATATATATATGGGAATATCTATTGCTGGTTGGTGGCCAACCTACCCATCTTGAAAAATATGATGGACTTCGTCAATGGTTGGCGGATGACATCCCATATATGAAATGGAACATAAAAAAATGCTTGACACCACCAACCAGATTGGGATATGAAGATCAATATTGGGGTAAGAATTGAAGCATATTTTTGCTGGGATATTCTCTGGTAATTTCACAGTTTGCAAACATGGGCCATGTTCGTCGCTCGTGAGGCGCGTGGGTGGAGAAAGAAAGGATGAATTGCCCAATATCACCTTTCAAAAATCGTAGTTTTCCATAACTATGGTAAACTGTGCTAAATAACCAGAGGCTATAACATATCCCATGTATTTTATAGTTTACTTTATTCTTCGCGGACTCTCCACCATCAACACAATAGAGAATTGATTCTTATTTCAGTCAACCTAGCTATCCTTTTTTCGTCTTTTTTCGGCACCACTGTGTATCATTAAGAATATCAATCGATGATGTTCCGAAAATGGTGATTGCCCATTCAGAAATGATCTGGCTGAACTGTATTAATTTACCATTACATATTTACCAATCTAAAAATACGCACGGGGTTTGCCCGGACTGCAACATGGAGGATGCCCTGTTGTTGAACATGATAAGAGAGATTGCAGAAAATACTGCGTAATTATACGAATTGTTTTCTGGTTTTTCAGGGTTTAGGGTTTGGGGTTTTAGGTTTTAGGGGTTAAGGGTTTTATGGTTTTAGAATTTGGGGTTCAGGGTTGTTCGTCTGAGAAATACCAAAACACTGGCCCAGTGGAGGTAATTGAGCATGTCGAAGGATAATTAATGTTTGAACACCGTTCTAACCTTCTGGGCAAACCATAGGGTCTTGCCGAAAAAAAAGCTGAAAAGTTTAGCCATTTGGGAATCATGAACCCCGAATCCAAAGCATTATTGCAATGACGTCATGACGTGAGGTAACTATAATTTATATACGTATACCGTATATCTATGTATATATATAGTTATATATATATACTGGTTGGTGCTTTCAACCACTCTGAAAAATATGAAAGTCAGTTGGGATGATTATTCCCAACTGAATGGAAAAATAACAGCCATGTTCCAAACCACCAACCAGTATACATATATATATATTAATTGATCCGGATAGATCAGCATGACATATCCCATAGAAAACATTCATTTTTCTTGGTTGCATCTCCATTTTTTTAATGTTCTAGATTCTTGTTGGTTATTTATTCCAATACAAATCCAATAAAGTTCCATAACATCCCATGGAATCCCATTAAGGCAGCATAAAAATCCCATAACATCCAGTTACATCCCATCAATCTACCCTATGGTAAACTAACATAACTATGGAAAAACACCATTTTTCTATGGGAAAACTCACTATTTCTATGCTCATTTTTGATAGCTATTTTGACATAACCAGAGGGTACCCTCACCATCTGCGGCATCTGCGCCTCCACTCTGCGACCCGTTGCACCGAGGCATAATCACGTGGCACACAGCCATTTTCACCTGCAGTGACAAGGGTGGTTCAACAACTGAAGATTGGGGGATACCCCAATGATAGGGAAATGACTGGCTAAAGTTGGGTAAATATTGGGTAAATATTGGGTAAATATTGGGTAAATATTGGGTAAATATTGGGTAAATAGCCTAAAATCCCTAATCTAAAATGGAAATTCATGAGTTCATGGGTCATCAGGATTTATGCGAATGTAAAGTTATGGGATGGTTGTGGTAAAGTCAATGTGATACTTCTGGGATCATCATGGGGCTGGTTTGATGCTCCCAGCAGACCCAGTGGAATAGCAACGTTGGCTCACAGGGCTTCATCCGTGAATTGGTTGTGAATTGCTATATTAACATGGTCATGAAGACGTGTCTTGAATTGGATATTATCATGACTACCCTCTGGTTATTTAACATAGCCATGGAAGCCATGGCCCATAGAAAGAGATGGTTTACCTATTAATAGCATCGACATTTTCCATGGCTATGTTAGTCATAACCCCATGGTAGTTCAAGAAAAAAACAACGCCATGGTTCGAAGTCCAAGCAACTTCACTTTCTCCCACCCTGAGTTCTGTCCAGCTGACATGCCAAAAAACAACAGGTCGCTCCAGTGCCGCCATGGGAAAACTCAACATTTTCGGGTGAGAAGATGGTGCAATCACCAGGAGAAGCATCTCATCATATCTCATCGATTGATGGTTGGGTGGATTCACTTGGATTTGCCAACAAAAAATTACCCATCGATTCTCCAAAGAATCGATGGCTGCCAAATGGTACCCTCTGGTTATGTCAAAATAGCTATTGAAAATTGCCATAGAAATAGTGGATTTGCCCATTGAAAATTGTGATTTTCCATAGTTGTGGGACAGTTTACCAGAGGGTACATCACTTCCATTCAGCAAACAACATACTGTACTGACGCACCATTGAATCCATGGTGAAAGTTCCATTACCAAAAACCAAGACACTACTTCACTACTCGCAATCACCCAAAGGAGTCACTGAAAGCATTGTATCAAATCCCATAAATCTGTATCAAATCCCATCAAAATCACCGTGCGCCCAACATCCAACCCTCAACATCCCTCAACGTCATCGCCGTCGCCTGGCGCGATGCTTTGCGCGCTCTGCAGCAGGTGCTTCAGTTCCTGAGGTGGCAGCAGACGGCAGACCTTGCGCACAGGCAGCACCTGACGCGACGGCGACGGCGAGATGTCGTGATTCCGAAAACGTATGGAGAATGGATGGGGAATGGATGGAACATCTATGGAAAATGGATGGAACATCAGGGAAAAGCAACTTCATGCCACGAAAATCAATGAAAGTCATGGGAGCAAATTCATGTCACGAAAGAACTCCTAGTCAAGTCGTCGACAGGCCTCGCTCTTGCAACCGATAAAGGACTACGTTCATTCTACACAAAGTAAGACGGTGTCAATCAAAACTCGGACTTCTACCAAGTATCGAAAAAGTTGATCGTCAAAAGTGCAGCTCCAAGCATTTAACATTTGGATACATTTGGTCATGAGGATGTCCGCTCTGGCCGGGTATCCAAAGCTTTGCCAGTATAACGGCGTCCCAATCATACTCGTGAGTTCATTCAACATGGATTCGCTGCGTGAAAATCCTGAAACGTGTCATCATCAGGCGAGCGAAACACGATCAAAGTGGCAATGGCCATGCATGGTGATTCATGGTGATTCAATATAATGCATTAATCACCATTAAATCACCATTATCGTGGCAATCCATTAATGGTTATTAATTAATGGTGACTCATGGTGATTAAATGGATTGAACGGTGATTTCATGGTGAGTTGATGGTGGTTTAATGGTGATTTAATCGGAATATCATGGGGATTTAGTTGGTATTGAATGGAGAAATAGTGGATCCATAATGGGCAATATAGTAGCCAACAATACATCATCATGGGTTTGTGTGAAAATGTGGTAATGTAAGTAAAACAATATCATAAACCACCCATGACTGGGAATGGTTTATAGCACCTATTAAAAATGGTGATTTGGGGGATGGTATATTATTGGTTTATCCACATTACCCAAAAATCAAAATGGTTAATAAGGTTAATGATGATTGTCTGAACGCCCTTGCAATTTTGAGGCTATACCTCATTTCAGACACAGCCATATACATATGAACCATGAAAAGTACCCTGATCCCATTCCTTTCTACTGGTTGGTTCTTAAATGTTCAAACATAATCCCCAATTAGCCATCAGTAAAACCCCCTATGAACCCATCAACATGGGATAATGTTAACCACGTATTCCATGCATTGATGTTTGCAAAATATCATAAAATCGGTATGTTCCTATATGGAAGAACAATCTATCAATTGTTTTTTTAATATGGAACACATGAAATTGTGGATTGTGTACACTATGTTCCTATAAACAAGTGAAATATAGATGGATTACCATTATATTGAACAAAGAAAAATTGTGATTTTATGTAAGTCTGGAAATTGTAATTAATATGTTAGAGAATTAATCGTCACCTTATGTACTAGAAATTTTGGAATCATCACCTGCACTGGAAATTATAAAATATTCAATATTTCTAAGAAGATCTCAACAGATCTTTTGACCATACCCCAGCCCCAAAAATCACCATTTTACCTATTTTGTACATATTGGTAAAGTGGGTACCCCTTAAAAATTGACCAAAAGATCTGTTGATATTGACCACCTTAGGGTATCCAGTAAACCCTACACCGTAAACCCTACATGAACCGCCAAAAATGAGACGATTTTCCTGTTCTCTTACCGCTGTTGATTGGCAAAGGTTGCCTTATCTAGGTTTTTCCCTTCTTTGCTTTGGGACCTTTGGTCTCAGCATAGGGATCAAAAGAATCCATTTGCATTCTGACGCTCGCGCTGAGCTTGGAAACCACGTTGCCTTGGCTGTCAAGCCATGAAAATGAGAACACAATGTCAAAATTATTTGAAAAACAGACGCTTATCAAAGAGTGTTTGGGGTTAGTAAAGATAGATAAAGTAAAGTGTTACTCAAATTCCGCAACTGGTCTACTTGTATCGATGGGAACAGGTCTTTTTCTTGCCGATGAGGATGACGCGGATGTTCCCACCGGGGGTTCTACCTCATCTTTCTTTGAGCTGGCTTTCCCCTTGCCCTTCTTTCCCTTCCCCCTGCCTTTCGCGGTGGTTTTGGCAGCAGCTTTTTTCTTACCTACTGAAACGCGGCTGGAACTTGAGGCAAGTGAACTGCTGCTGTCTGAGTCTTGGGGTTCCTCAGCGTCATCCTCTTCCTCTTGCTTCGACTTACGATTCACTCTTTTTTCACATTCTGCGGGAATTTCATCTGGTTGATCTTCGTCAATTTCTGGGTTTGTGGTGTCTGCATCCAACAAAGCGTTTTCGACGTCTTGTTTCGAAGGTTTGCTTTCACAGTCCTAAGTGGTTGCTGCTTCATATATTAACTTTGAAACATAGTTTCCCGATTGTAAGTTTTGGGTTTTCACTTTTTGGAACCAACATATGGAAAAACGCGCGTCTAAAATTGCCAAATATCTCCACCGTTCTCCTTGTGCAAGGCCCACATCCATTTCACGATTTCCAGCAATGCAACAACTTTCGTTCGTTTCTGGTTGTAGCTCCTGCTTCGAGAGTAGTGGGTTTTGGGTTTTCTTTTGGATCCCTCTTTCACCGGCTTGATCTCTGAAATGGGGTAGTAACCTTGAAAGCATCCCACAGAGTATTGCCAAGCCAGCACGCAACCAGCTACATCTGGACGAAGATTCTTGATTGCCTTTGGGGTAAAGTTTTCAGCCACAGCTTTTGCATGACCAACTCTGCTCAAAATGTACTCTCGACGGGCCATGTCATCCACGTGCGCTTTCATGTCGGAAAACTGGTTGAAGTCAGCTTCATGCTCAAGGCTGCTCAAAACATCTTTCATGTAGCTGGCACAAAACTCCGAAGATGCAATTTGTGCGCCGCGTTCTTGTTGGGTGTTGCACCATTTTTCCAATAGTTTGTTTTTCCCATCTTCATTCAACTCAGGAAAGAACCCTCCAATGAGGCAGAACCTGAAATTGCATAGCTGTTCCCAAGAATATTGAAACAATGTTTCTTACCCCTGCCAACGATATTTGAAGAGAATAACTTTCGACAACAATCAGTTGTTATACACCAACGATCAAAATATTGCTCAATGTGAAACTAGGATCAACCTTGATTGAAACCCAACTTTCTTTTCCTTGTGCTTTGTGACTTGAATTTTTGAGCAGAACAAAATGTTCTTGACAAGCGCTTCCAAATGTGTCTTTGGTACGCCTACAGGAGTTGCGTGTTGTAGCCAAAACCGAACAAGGGTCTCATCCTCACCAGTTCTGCGTATCAAAATGCCTTTGCTTTGCAAAGTTGGCGGTAGTTGCCACGGGCAGCCTTAGTATTGCGACCCAGAGGAGATAGGAAAGGTTACAGTAAGCGATTTCGTTTAAAACTATCCACGCTCGGGTTTTGGAAAATGTAAAGGTCTATTGTTTTGGATATCATGGGTGAAAAAAATAATACCAATATATATAATAGGAAAGTATTTTAATATATTTTAATCTTTTAAAACCTTTCTTGAGGCGATGTTGTTTTGCCAATCTAGAAACAGACTTCAGTGGGTACCCCAGAAAACTCCTCTTCGCACACGGCGTCAGCAGGGCTCCAAACACGGCTCGTCGTGAAAAACTGCAAACGGACTCGGCTTTCGTGTGGATCCATCTCTTTCTCAGAAACCTGGAAGTAATTTCCGTCCTCCGGCAAAGCTTTCAGCTCCCATGACATCCCAGCATACTCGTAAAACCCAAAGGAGAGAATGTAGGAATCAGTCATCTTGTCATGGAACACCAGGCCATGTGCCATAAGTTGCCCCACCCAAAGCCCTGACACATCCTCAAAACCACGAACTGCAGATTGCCTCAAACCAACCATTGCGGCCACAGATTTGTAGTCAGCAACATTTGATGCTGGTTTCACATTCTCGAGGTCTACAGTAGATATACCGTGTTCTGCAATCTGTTGGCTCATCTGAGTCAAGCCTGTGTGACGGAATTGGAAACCCTCCCTAGTGCATTATAGGCATTGCTTTGTGTGAATGCGGTCACCAAACACAGTCAAAGTTTCAATTTAAAGTCCCGCAACAGTGTCAGAAAACACCATTACGCAAACCTGCAAATTGAGGAATGGAAAACTAATAATAGAGTTTCGTTTTGTCAAACTGGACCTGTCTTTTGGAGACTCGAAGCACGCATCTTCTTGAGAACAACAGACTCAGGAGCAAAAGCCCCCACGTTCACCACCCTTTTGAACGGAGCAGATTTTGTGGAAGAGATATCGTCCACTTGCAAACTCAGTTTGGTCCATTGTTCCTTCTGCAACCTTGTCCATGAAGAACACTGCAAATGAAATCTCTCCAAAGCAAGGGTCTTGAAAGGATTCTTGTTGCTTCGTTTTGAATCTGAAGAATGGCCGAAATGATCTTCCACCGCCTCTTTCGTACTTGGTAGGCAGTCCCCCAGTCTGTAAATGTGTGCCCACATTGATGCAGTTGACCAGTTGTATTTTTTGCAATGGCTCCAGAACTCCTACCAGAGTCTTCAGGTAATTATCTTGGAACCAAACCGTACTCAGTCCTCGAACAATTTTTTTCTATCTCCTATGCTCTTATTAACGATATGATGTAAATTTAGTAAAGCAAACGTAGAGGACTGGGCAGTAACATCAAACCCAATCTTAAACGCATAGGTCACACAACCCTGATTCGCATTTATGCGAGAATCCGACAACGTGCAATTTCGAAAGTTCCAAGCCTGTACGGCTGTAGCTTTGTGCCACCACAAATCACGCAGGCACGCTGACAAACCCTGCAGGGGCAATTTGAAGAGTAGACAGTAGACATCATTGGTATTAAAACTGATATTACGACTTCGATACTTTTAGAGTTTAATTTCCTTGACTTTAGGGTCTTCAAACATCTTGCACCATTTATCTCTCAAAGAAACAGATCTACTAGAATTTACTAGAGTGGTTCCCTGTATGGTAAGCCTGGTGGTCGCAGGACTCATCTTTCTCGAATGCTTTGGTAACAGCATCTGAAACAATCTCTGCATCCTTCTCAATCCTTTTTTTGGCTTCTTTTGCTAACTCCACATCGGAATCCAATATCCCCAGCCAATTGTCCGGTTGACAAACCCATTGAGGTGAGAGTGACCAGCAACGTTGGGAAGCCATGCTGACACACAATCTGAAAAACAAGGTTGCATCTTTTTGTTTCTCCAACTTTTCTTGATCACTGCCGGGCAGTACATCAAGCATCAATCTGTTCATCACCCACTCATCAGACAGGTTGGCAAAGATTTCGGAAGCAACCGTTGCCACCCCTTTGTTCGACCAAGCAGCTTGCTGGCTGATGTTGGTGCCCCGTTCCTGTGTATTCCTCAGTGTTTCTAAATGTGCTTCACGTAGAGGTCGCTCAGCAAAGTAGACCCTTAGCGCACCACCCAATTAGGCAAGGGATTCAAACCAGAGTGAGCCTACGTGCAAAACTCAGAGGCAACAAAGGGTAGCAAAGGCCGTCAGAATTTAGGAAACAAATTGTTTTCCCGGCTAATGTTTGCCAGTGGTTCGAGAAATGAGGGGAAAGGCAAAAGAGATTCAGTCAATTCAAGTATGGCACACGACTTGGCTATCCTTGGTCCAATGAAATGTTTGGGGTAATGTCCGTAGTAGTTATTAAAATCACACTCCTTCACACTGAAACTGCTTCTACGAGGCTCATGTACGCGAGAGTTCGTACGCGCATGTCGGAAACAATGGAACAGGCCAACTGGAAGGTATGTTGCCCCTTCTGCAAGTTTTTCAGGTGGTGAAGTAGAGCCTCAACCGAATTGTCCTTTGGTTCTGGGTTTTGCTCGGGATTCTCCGTTTCCACTGCCCCATCTACAGTGCGCTTTCTGTACAGGTAGAGCTTTCTCAAGAGGGACCACAATGAAATCAGCGAGCCAAACTTGTAGTTCCACGCGTGAAATTTGGATAAAGTCACCTGCCCAATGATCATTCATCGGTGGTCACTGGACAGGTATGTATACCACCAGAAGTAGATATATAGATGTACATAATGTTTACAGATATAAATGCCACAACAAAACCACACCGAGGAGTGAACAGAGAAAGTATATAACACACCAAGGTTGAACAGGTCGTTTCGTACAGTCACCAGGACAAAATAGGTGGAAACCTGCATAAGGAGTCAGAGAATATTAACTAAGTAGGCATCAATCAAATATCAATCAAACTATTCAAACCTCCTAGCCTCCTGCGCGTGAGACAACCGTTCTGCTTCCCGAACCAGTCTGTCGTGCACATCTTCTGGCGTAGAGGTTTTTGGCATGTTCAGGTCCCAAACGATCTCGTCCAAACCATCTTGGAACCTGGTGGAAGACGGTGAAATGAAAACATTTGATTTTTACCCTTTCTTTTGAGCAGGATGTTACTTACCTACTTTTGTGGGGCTTTTGTTTCTTAGTTCGTATCCCGTAACTATAACACTGTCTTTTGCGCGGCATCCCAGGCAAAAACAGCATCCACTTTGAATGGGTTGGGCAAACTACGAAAGGGATATGTAGAGCGTAATTACTGATATTTTTGGGGGTGTTAATCTCAGCCTAGTGTCTCTTCACTGGCTGCTGGAAATATGGTGATGTACATGTGGACAAGATCACACATTTGACTGTGGAAGTCATAGGATGCAAACGGTTTCCTGGATACCGAGAAGACATATCTCACCGCTGCAACAACACCTCAGCAGAGAAGAGAGGCTTGAATAAGATTGGTCACTTCTCCTCTGGGTCATAAGAGCTAATTTCAAAAATATATATGTGTCTTTGTAGAAATGATTACAGTAATGAGCTGACATATTATTCTAACAGCAAAGATTAAACTTAGTCTTGTGAAGAACACGCGCTTCTGATGCCTCAAGCTTGTGGGAATACCCTTAAAGAATATAAAGCCAAGGAACCCCATAAACCAGCTGCCTGTATTGCCAGTTTTGCGTCGTTGACGCTACGGTGATGGAAATCTTGACGTCGAATCATCCGTAGCTTCAGACCAAATATGCATTGGTTCAGCCATTTGACCCTCAAAAATTCAGAGATATGGTTTGGCAAAGGGTCCGTACCACGGGTTAAGAAGTACAAACCTAACCCATATTAGTTACAAAAGTAAAGTTTAAGCGGAAAAAAACTGCTTGGAGCAATATCGAGTTTCTGTTTTCGTTCCTCATCAGCTGTGCAAATTAGCAATGGTAACTTGCAAAGTGCATCTTCAGAACTTTGACGTCCCGGTGGCAATACTTTAGGTAGAAATGAATCCATTCCCACACAAGGGGCTAATGCCTGAGCAAGCATTTGCAGTTGTTTGTAACTGCCCAGTTTCTCAGCTTTTGCCGTGGACCGAAGCTTACTCATGGACCCTGGATCGATTTGGCCAGATTTTTCCATCGCCTAAGTTCAGGCCAGACTAGGGCTATGGTGCAGGGTGATTGGGGGTACAACCAAATTTGGGTGAGTGATAGTATCCATTCAGTTTATTTTGCAAGCAAGTTGACTGAAAGGTGGATATCTGTAAAGATTCTTTCTCATTAGTGCTGGACGGTTTTTAGACTCTGGTTTGATGTTTGGCTGTGGGAAACAGAATTCAGAAAGCACTGCTGCTAAGTTTCTGCAGCTTTGGCTAGCAGAAGTTGTTCCTCCACGGCGTCTCTTTGTTCAAGTGCTTGTTCAGCCGACAAATCTTCAGGGTTGTCGATCAGCAGGGATCTGTCAATAACCTCGGGTAGGTAGCAGTGCTGAAGATTGCTGAGTGTATTTCTAACTTGAATTCCTGAAATCTACTCTCAGTTGTTTTCATCTGTCCGCTGCAAGATTGTGTCATGAAATGACAACGCGTAGAGACGTGGCGCAAACTTGACGCAATGCACATGGATCACGCTTTTGGTGGAAAACAAAATCCAGGGTGCATTGTGTCAGAACCACCCAATGCTACTAAGTAGTGATCCAGAATTCATGCATTGAATCCTTATTATTCAAAATGCAGCAACTGGCGCAATTTCGGGGCAAGCCATTCCATCATGAATGGTTTCAAAATTCAACATGTTGCTTCAGCTCCAAAGCTGGGGAAGAAAACAAACTGGCAGTTTCAAAGAATTAGTTTGAAATAGGCGCTTGCCGCCTCTATCCAATCGGCCAGGCCGTCTTGATGGCTGGGCCATGGGCGCTCTGGGCTGCTCTGCCCAAATCAGGACACAGTCATAAGTAAATGTGGTCTTAAACCAATCCTTTCGGGATTTATGTTGGTATAGTGGGCAGGGCACCTTAAATACCGATGCTGATTTCAGCTTTATTCTGGAATCATGAACGTTTCTCCATGTCCCTCTCAAGCAATTCTTCAATGTCTTCACCCGGAGATTCCTGAGTGGTGGGGGGCTTGTGCCATATTGGCTGAAATGTTACCAACATTTATGGAGGTTGCGACACTAAAAATGGGATGGGGACTTTATTTGTTATATAAAAAGATTTACTTTGCATGGCTAAGGTTTATAAACGCCATAAGGAACACCGGAATCTTGTCAAAATAATCAGTCAAAACTTAGGTTGAAAACATCGAATAATCCTAAAGAATCAGAAAGCGCTAAAATTTGGTAGCTGAGATTCAATATTATGGGGCTGGGACCAGAAATTTACCGGCTGGGACCCACGGTTTCTCACAGTCTAGATCCCTGCATACCCCACCCCTAGGTGGGAGGGGTATGCTCAGCCCAAACCCTGAATTCGCTTGGGGAACTGCGCTCAGGGCTGAGCATACCCCTCCTAGCACATATTGCCAGAAATTGCCCAAAATTGCCTAAAATGCCTAAAATCTTGGTATGGGAATGC